CACAGCCCTGGAGGCCCGGTACACGGCACCCGGTGATGAAACATGTAAACCGCCTGAAATTTCTGAGGAGATTCTTATCATTTGATATGTAACATCGCCGAGATCTGATTGATTCCAGATCCGCACTGGGAGCCAACCAGAGAAGAGGAGGAACTTGTGAGGTCTGGGGTCATAGATGGTTACACAGTCCCCTCAGACACCCCAACAGTCCAATACAAGGGGTGGGGGGGTTGATGCACTGAAGGTAAATAGGCTGTTCAGTCTGCAGGTGGGGGGTTCCCGTAGCTCGGTGAATGAGGTGAAGCTCCTCCCATTGAGGGATTATAAATATGTCAGATTCTTGATAGGCCATGTACAAATCCCCCCCCCCCCCCCCATGTCACCCTCCTCTCACTACATCACCTGGACAGGTTGTGTTATAACTCACACGCTAAATTATCCTCCAAAAAAATGTGTTTCCCTTCCTATCAATTCAGATTTTTAGTTCTTTTGGTTTTTTTTAGATTTCGGATCCGTCCGGGTTTTCATTTCGGTGCGAAGTCACATGACCCCGCCTGAAATGCAACCCCCGACAGCCAAAGAAAAAGATAATCTGATTGGCCAGAGAACAGTCACATGTCCGATTTAGTTTCATTTTGTAAGAAATTTGGACGGATCTGAACTTTGGTCAAAAGGAACATTCCGATTCGTCCAAATTTCAAAGGAGTCAGATGACAAATCATTGGCCAAACAGTGCCTGCAGCCAATCAGCCAGAGACTGCTGTCAGAATACAATGGAAACGGCGAGGGATTCCTCCTTCCATGCTGCTTAGCTGGGAATCTGTGATATTGTTTTATTTCATTCAGCCGGAAGGCCGTGTCAGTAAATATAAAATATCACAGGGATTCTTCATATTAAATGTTTTATTTGTCAGACAAAAGAATGTGAATATTTCTTCAGATTATAATCCTTCATAACATAAAACGGAAACAAATATATTAAAAGTTTCTCTTTATTGAAATGTTCAAACAAAGCCCG